GTCAAGTGCCTTAGGCACTATGCTACAAGATATCCCATTGTATAGTTATAGAACTTATAAATGTGAGGAAGTCAAGACAATTATAAGATAGAATGGACTGTTCTAAACTTAGGAAGAAAATTTAAAATCACAGGTAACCTCAAAGAAATATGGTAAATTGTCACATCCCAATGAAAAAGAAGATAAGCATAAATATTTAGCAAATACTATAACAAGAGCAACAAAGGAAGTAATAACACGATTCACAAACAAAACAAGCTCAGCACAGAAAATTGTACGGAACAAAGAAATCAGCAACACCATGAAAGAGCACATAACAAAATGACAGCAACAAATTCATATTTGTCGATAATTACACTGAATGTCAATGGATTAATTGCACCACTCAAGAGAGTTGCAGATTGGATAAGAAAACATACCCACCAATATGCAGTCTAAAAGAGACACATCTTAGAGAGAAAGACAAAAATAGATTAAAAAATCAAATGTTGTGAAAAGATACATAAAGCAAATGGCAACCATAAAAAAGCAATAATGGAAATATTAATTTCTGATAAAATTAACTTTAAGACAAAAATCACCATACAAGACAAGGAAGGACATTATGTAATGATTAAAGGGTCGATTAAAAAAGAGGACATTACAATAATAAATATCTATGCACCCAATGAAAGAACCCCAAAATATATAAATCAGACTTTAACAGAACTGAAAAGACAAAAGATGACACCACAGTCATAGTAAACAACAAACTCACTGCTGTTGAGTCAAACCCAAATCATAGTTATATATTCAACATTGTATTGGAAGTCCTAGCCAGGGCAATAAAGCAAGAAAGGGAAATCAAAAGCATCCAAAATGGTAAGGAAGAGTTAAAACTATCCTTATTTTCTGGTGATATGATCCTAGACATAGAAAACTCAAGAGACTTAGGAAAAAAACTACTGGAACTAATTGAGATATTTAGCATAGTGGTAGGATACAAGATCAACATACAAAAATCAGTTGGATTCCTCTACACCGGCAAAGAATTGCTGAAAAATAAATAAGGAAATCAATACCATTTACAATAGCTTTGGTGGGGTAATTCCTAAGGCATGTGACTGCTAACCAGAAGGCTGGCAGTTCTAACTCACTGGCCACTCCTCAGAAGGAAGATTGGGAAATCTACTTCCCTAGAGATATTGCCTGGGAAACCCAAGTAAAGGTCACTATAAGTTGAATCAACTTTATGGCAGTGAGTAGCCAAAAAATTAAAACATTTGTGAATACTAGTGAACTGTACAAAAAAAAGTACAAAAGACTATTTGAAAAAACCATAAAAGATCTACATAAATGGAAGAACATACCATGCTCATGGATGGGAAAATTTAACATTGTGAAAATATCAATACTATCCAAAGCAAACTACACATTCAGTGCAATCTCAATCCAGATTCCATCAACATCCTTACAAAAAAAACTCACCACCATTAAGTCAGATCTGACTCATAGTGACCCCTCCTTGGGTTTCTGAGATAGTGTCACTATGGATGTAGATTGCTCAATCTTCCTTCTGAGGAGTGGTTGTTGGGTTTGAGCTGCCAGGCTTCTGGTTAGCAGTCAAATGCCTTAGGCATTACCCCACCAGAACTCCCAACATCCTTTAAGGATAAGGAAAAAACAATCATAAATTTTATGTGGAAAGGAAAGAGACCTTGGATATGCAGAGCACTATTGAAGAAGAACAACGTAGAGAGTCTCACACTCCCAGATCTCAAAACCTACTATACAGCCACAGAAGTCAAAACAGCCTGGTATTGCTACAACTACAGACACATAGACCAGTGCAACAGAATTGAGAACCCAGAAATAGATCCATCAACCTATGGTTAGCAGATTTTTGACAAAGGGCTGAAATCTATTTCATGGGGAAGAGATAGTCTCTTTAATAAATGATGCTGGCAAAACTGGCTATCCATTTGCAGAAAAATGAAACAAGATGGATCTGTATCTCACACCATACACAAAAACTAACTCCAGATGTATCAAAGACTTAAATGTGAAACATAAAAATGTAAAGTTCCCCAAGGAAACACTAGGGGCAAATTTAAGGACCATAATATATGGCAGGAAGCTCTGGTGGTGTAGTGCCTAAGGCATTTGACTGCTAACCAGAAGGCTGGCAGTTCAAATCCACCAGCCACTCCTCAGAAGGAAGATTCAGCAGTCTTCTTCCATAGTGATACTGTCTCAGAAACATAAGGAGAGGTTGCTATGAGTCGGATCTGACTCGACAGCAGTGAGTTTGGTTTGGTTTAATATATTGTATAAATAAACTGTCACGCATAACCCAAAATGCAGAAACAGCAGAAGATAAACTAGAGGAATGGGGCTTACTAAAAATGAAATTTTTATACGTTTCTGAAGACTTCTCCAAAAGAGTATAAAGAAAACCTACAGATTGGGAAAAGAAAATTCGGCAGTGACATATTTGACAAGGGATTTATCTCCAAAATTTATAGAAAACGCAAACATCTCAAAAACAAAACAAAATCAAAAAACAAATAATCCAATTAAAAATTGGGCAGAAGACATGAATAGACACTTCACCAAAGAGATATTCAGGCAGCCAACAAACACTTGAAGAAATGTTCACAATCATTAGCCATTAAAGAGTTGCAAATCCAAACAATAAATGCGATACCATCTTGCCGCAGAACTAATAACAAAGTTCAACAACACAGAAAATAAATGCTGGCAAGAATGTGGAGAGATTTGGACTCTCATACAGAGTCTTGGGATTGTAAAATGGTACAACCACTGTGGAAAACATTATGGAGATTCCTTAAAAAGTTGGAATTAGAAATACCATTTGATCCAGCAATCCCATTACTAAGTATATATCCTAAAAAAATGAGAGCCAGAATAAGGATATTTGCACACCCTTGTTCACTGTAGCAGTATTTACAATAGCTAAAAGATGGAAACAACGTATGTGCCCATCAACAGAAGAATGGATAACCAAACTATGGTACATACACACAATGGAATACTGCACAACACTACAAAACACCACATAATGTTGATGAACTTGGAGGAAGTTATGCTGAGTGAAAAAAGTGAATCACAAAAGGGCAAATACTGTATTAGATCATTATTGTAAAAAGTCAAGAAAAAATTTATATGTGGAAGGAAACTTTCCTTGCTGGTTACCAGTGGTGGAAGGGGAGAGGAGAAAACACTGCACAAATGAAAAAAAAAAAAAAAACAAACATAATAATAATAAATAAAAGTATATAGAAAAGTAAAAAAAGATTTAAAAAATAAAAAAAAAGTGTCCAAAAGAAATAGGACAGATGAGAATACAAGAAGAAATTGAGACTGAGGGAGATGAAGATAATTTTCAGAATGTCTGAAACTGGACTCTTCAAGTGACCAAGGAATGGTCACCTCAAGGTCTTGAGACAAGAGTAGGGGAAGACTGAATTTCTGGTTCTTGCTATGCATCTTATAGGGTGAATTTTGAAGCATAAATCTTGAGTTTTGGTCATTTAAACTTTATTAGGTCAATGTTCTTTTCTATAAAATGTCACTCTTAACCCTCTTCCACTAGGTTGTTTTAAGTTGTAAAAGCAATTTAACATGTGGATAGGATTTGAATCACAATTACTCTTTGAATCACAGTCATAATATGTCTTTGTTCTCACTCCCTTTTCCCCTAACCCCAAAAGGATATTCCTAGTAAATAATGAGAAGCACAATTAGATGTACTTCCTGAAACTACACCCATTGGGACGGAGCAATCCTGAGAGAACTTGTCTTGATGGAAACACATAAAATTCATTACCTGAGTGGGGGTATGGGAACAGGTTTCTTGCTATCATTTGAGAACATGGCTCTTCACTAAAAGAAGAGTTCCTGAGATGGCTCTCCAGTCTTTTCTGCTAGTGCAGTAGGGATCTAGTGCACCTCTACTGAGAAGTAGAACTTGCCCTCTCTGCGTGAGCCTTGCAAGGTGAGTAGAGAAACCTACCTTGCCTAAACTCCCCATGGCTTGATTCACAGCAGCTGTTTTGAAGACAGCAGATCCTGAAGGCTGAAAGATACTTAATACTCTACCTGCTCTGAACTCTTATTCTCCCCAAGTGCTTGCCATAGACTCACTTGTAAAATGAGCCTGCCTTCCCATGCCCAAAGAGTTTTGAAAGGATAAATGGAATAGAGAAAGTTGTATAATAAAGAATGCATTATTATTGAGCAAGATGATTCTTATTCTTTATCATGTTAGTGAGTGTTCCACAGCATCTGAGGAAAGCTGTATGGGGGAGACACATTAGATTAGCTTTCAAGAAAATTATTCTCTATTCCTGACTCTGTGACTTCTGACATGTCACTTTACTTCTTTTGGTCTCTGCTGCCTGATCTATAAAGCAATATCCCTCAAGCTCTCCCACTCCAGGTTTTTATAGACAACGTGTATGTGTTCCCATGTGTAGCTTATGTGGAATTGTATGTATGATGTCTGAATGCAGTGCATATACGTCCATCTGGTATCTATCTATCTATCTATCTATCTATCTATCTATATCTGTTGGTAATGTGTGTGTATGCCTGATGTATCTGTGAATATGTTCATTGATGGTAAATATGCAAGATGTGGTCTTGAATGTTTGAAATGTGCATAGTTATGTGGGAATGTTTTGTATATGTTATGTACATCTTCATGTATACATATGCCTACATATATGTGGTCATTTATGTTTGTATGAAAACAGTTCATATGAAATATTTGTGATGATTGTGTATTCACATATGTGTGCATGCACATCTTTGCATGTGAGAATAGATCCATATATAGGTGTGTCCTCATGTTTGGTTGTAATCTAAATCAGAGCTTCCTTTCCAAGTTACAACAGGCACAGAGAAAAAAGAATCTACTTCACCCTGCCTTCTAAAAAAGCTAGGCATCTACCAGAAGGTGGAAGGAACCGACAGACCTACCAGGTGTATCACTCAGAATGGGGCAGACTAATGTAACATCCTGGAGTGGTTTTGTCTTCCTAGGTTTCTCCAGTTTGGGGGAGTTGCAACTCCTGCTCTTTGCTGTATTCCTCTCTGTATATCTTATCACTCTGACGAGCAATGTCTTCATTATCATAATCATTAGGCTGGACAACCATTTGCACACCCCCATGTACCTCTTCCTTTCTTATCTATCTTTCTCAGAGACCTGCTACACCTTGGGCATTATCCCTAGGATGCTCTCTGGCCTGGCTTTGGGGGACCAGACCATCTCCTATCTGGGCTGTGCTGCTCAGATGTTCTTCTCTGCCTCGTGGGCCTGCACCAACTGCTTTCTTCTGGCTGTCATGGGCTTTGACAGATATGTGGCCATCTGTGCTCCACTGCACTATGCCAGTCGAATGCATCCTACCTTCTGTGCCCAACTGGTTGGCACCTCCTTCATGAGTGGGTATCTCTTTGGGCTGGGGATGACACTGGCCATTTTCTGCCTCCCATTCTGCAGCTCCCATGAGATCCAGCACTTTTTTTGTGATATACCGCCAGTGCTAAGCCTGGCCTGTGGGGATACAGGCCTGAGTGAACTGGGGATCCTCATCCTCAGCCTGCTGGTCCTCCTGGTCTCCTTCTCCCTCATCACCATCTCCTACATCTACATCGTGGCAGCTATCTTGAAGATCTCCTCTGCCGAAGGGCGGAAAAAAGCCTTCTCCACTTGCGCCTCCCACCTCATAGTGGTCATTGTTCACTATGGCTGTGCCTCCTTTATGTATTTGAGGCCGAAAGCCAGCTACTCTCTTGAACGGGATCAGCTTATTGCTGTCACCTATACAGTGGTGACCCCTCTCCTTAACCCTGTTGTTTATAGTTTAAGGAATCGAGCTGTGCAGACAGCTTTGAAAAATGTTTGCCAAGGGAGATTACTGGGTAAAGGATGAGGGGGAGCTCATTTAGACAGGGTCCTCTGAGTAGGGTGAGCGTAAGATGGGAAACCCACACCAGTGGGCCAAATATTCAGGACTTTAGGCCAAAGCTGTCCCATCTCAAAACCTCTGGAAGAGCCCCATTCTGCCTTCTGAACTTCCCCCCAAGCCTACTTAGGCTTTCTACTCTGCTATCTGAGCTCAGCTCATACTGAACTCAGAATCTGGATTTTCACTTTCAGCCTATTTACTGAAACTCAAATTACTGAGTTTTCTAACTAATTTGAACAAAATGAGGGATGTTTGAGATGCTCAAGTTCAAGTCAGAGCTGACAGGAGCTCTATCAGGAACACTAAAGAAATTTCTAAAATAATTGCATAATTAGATTTGTATGACCTGTAAGATTCTTCCAAGATCTGAAAGTCAGTGAATATCAGTTTGACAGATCAGTTTGAATGCTTTGCTCAATGAAAAAGTAGGATATTCTCTCTATCCCACCAGGTATTTTTTTATATTTTTATAAATTTTCTTCTCTGTGTTTGGCTCATTATTATTTTGTTCTCTTCCTTTTAATTAGTTGTAGCTGGGTAGATTCTATTTTGGAACATATATTTCCTTCCTAATTTCCTTAATATACAGTGTCATTGTCTTGTGGCCATATATACTCGGATATCAAACATCCTCCTTACTTGGTTCACTTCCCAACATAGATACTGTTCTCTTGAATCTGTGGTGGGACTACCTATCCTGCCTATTTTTCTCTCTGCCCACAATGTGGCAGGCTTGGTGCCAAATATTCTTAGGAATAAATAAAAGTGTAATTAACTATAATTAACATAGCTATGAGGCAGGAGCTTGAATCTGGCCTCTGGAAGTTACTAGACTTAGAATCCTGGTAAGTTACTTAAACTTTCTCTGTTTTAATCTATTAAATTGTTATAATTTCATAGTTCTGTGTTGTTGACTAAATAAGAACATTCATGTAAGGAACTTTATACAATAACCAAACCCAACCCAACCTACTGCCACTGAGTTGATTCCATCTTATAACAACTCCCACTGGGTGTCCAAGGCAGTAAATCTTTACAGATATAGTTTGCCCCATCTTTCTTCCATGGAGTGGTTCGTGGGTTTGAATTGCCAAACTTCTAGTTAGCAGTCAAATGCCACAGGCACTGCACCACCAGAGCTCCTTTTATACAATAACAGGATTATATTAATCTTCCAAAAAATACTAGTTGCAAGTGTTGATAATGTGCTAAGCAAAGTGGGGAGTCCTTGTGGTGAAAATTATTAATGTGCTCTGCTCCAAAAGGTTGGGGTTTGCATCCATACAGAGGCACCCCAGAGAAAGGTCAGATGATCTACTTCCTAAAAATCAGCCACTGACATCCCTATAGAGCATGTTTCTACTCTAACACACACGGGATCACCATGAATCAGAATCGATTAGATGGTAAATGGTTACTGGTCACAAAGTGACACTGGCATTTAGAGGGACAGGTTACTTTAGGTGGATGATCAGAGAAGCCTTCATATCTGAAATAGTACTTGAACATTTGGCTAAGGGAAAGATGCACTGAGTGAGGAGAAAAGACATTCTCAGAGAACAACATAACTAAAGGCTTGATGGTAAAACAATGTAGGCCTATTTCAGAGTGTGGTGAGTTGTCCAGAGGAACTGGAAATGCCTCACCGATGATGCGAAACATTATATTGGGTTATGACTTCTTTGTTAGGGGCAAACAGCAATCTAAATTCTTTGTTTTAGAGTTGGTCCATTTGGAAGTGGTGGACAAGACACAGAAAACCTTTGAGGAGAGAAAAGAATGGCATCTGAAAAATGAGTTAGGAAAATCGATGCAGCATCAGAGAAGATGATGGGTTTTAGCAGAAAGACATCAGAAGTAAGGAAATCAGTGAACGATCCATTGTTGTCATTTGAAAGAAAGCAAAGCAGGGCTAAATTTGAATAGTGGTGATAGAAACTGAAGAAAATGACAAAAATAAGGGATTTTGCAAAGGTGGGATCCACATAGCTTACCAATGAATTAGAAGTAGGTCATGACTTGAGAAAGAAAGAATTTAGTCAAAGGATATTTTTTTTAGACACAAATCCATATTTTTTCCATACTCTCAAGGAAAACATCCTCTTCAGAAATTTGTGCATTAATATTCATTGCAGCACTTTTCATGATAGCCAAAGGTGGAAACAACCAAAATGCTCATTAACATTTGAAAGGATAAACAAAATGTGTCATACACATACAATGGGATATCACTGAGCCATAGAGAAATGAAGTTCTGATGCATCCCACAATGTGAATGAACCTTGAAAACTTTATACTGAGTGAAATAAAGCAGTCACAAAAGGACAAATACTATATGATCTCACTTATATGAAATAAGCATATAGATACATAGAAAGCAACAATTACAGGTGTTACAGCTGGTGGAAGAGAGGAGGAAAAGGGAAGTTTCTGCTTAGGAAACATTGAGTTTATGTTGTTGCTGTTGTTGTTGTTGTTATGTAATGTCGAGTCAGACCCAACTCATAGGGACCCCTCCTTGGGTTTCCAAGACAGTATTGCTACGGAAGTAGATTGTCCACCCTTCCTTCATAGTAGTGGCTAGGGGGTTTGAACCGCCAGCCTTCTGGTTAGCAGTCAAGTGCCGTAGGCACTACGATACCAGAGCTCCCTGAGTTTATGCTATAATATGGAAAAAGATAGCAATAATGGTTACACAACTTGACAAATGTAATCAATGTCCCTGAATTACACATGTAGAAATCATTGATTTGGTGAATGTTTTGCTGTATATATTTTCAGCACAACGAAAAAAAAAATAAGAAAAGAAAAATAGTTTCTGTTTGCCTAAAACAACAGAGGAAGAAGGTGTCTCAGGAAATGGAGAAGAAAATGGATTGTGTGACCAATTGCTTCCATGAACAATTGCCTCCTCTGCCATGAGATCAGAAGAGTGCATGGAACCTGGTTACCATTACTGAATAGTTGTGATCAAAGATTCTATAGAAGAATCCTGATCAAAAGAAGGGAAGTGCAGAACAGATTTTCAAAATTTCATGGAATTCAAATTTTCTGGAGCCATAGAGGCTGAATAAACCCCTGATACTATTATCCTAGGGTAGTCTTAAACTTTAAACCAAAAAATCCTCCAAAATCTTCTTTAAAATCAAATAATAGTTTAGCTTAACTAGAAAAGAAGGTCCGCCTTGAGCATTGTGCTCTTTTAATATCTATCTCTATGGGATCAAACTGACAATAACGACTTAGATTAGAAAGGAAAGTTGGTGAGTTTAAGTTAATGTAGAAGGAACAACTCAGGTAAGGAGGATGAGAATTGTTGCATAACTAAAAGAATGTAATCAGTGTCACCAAGTTGGATATGTAGAAATTGTTGAATTGGTGTATGTTCTACTGTGTATATTTTCAACAACAAAAAAATAAATAAATTATTTAAAAGTAATACTTTATTTTATAATTAGAGAAAACAAAATAATAAAATAAAATATAAAAAACCAAATCAAACTCAGTACTATGGAGTTGGATCCAACTCATAGCAACCCCTCCTTGGGTTTCTGAGGCAGCATCACTACGGAAGTAGATTGCCCAATCTTCCTTCCAAGGCAAATACAAAATAAAGACTTGACATCCCTCAGCGATGACTAGTTACATATAAGATAAGCCTGTAGACTCTTCTCCATTTTTTTCAACCCCTTATACCCCCCAAGCTTGAAATTTTTCAGGTCAAACAATAAATGTAATGAACACACACACACACACACACACACACACCTATCAGACAATAATCTTCCCACCCTCTTCACTTTCCTGCTCACTTCATCCCTCAATATTCTCTACCACACCAAGATTTTCTATGATTCATGAGGAGCTGTTTATCAGTTGCCAAAGTGAGAATTGGTGAAGCCAACGTAGTCATAGCCTGCATGGTGGCTTCGACCCCGTGGGTCCATATATTGTTGCATATGTGAGGTACAGTATGACACTTGTTCCGGAGTTAAGGCCTAAAGGGAATAGAAAGAAAGAGAAATATACTGTTGTTGTAAGGATTAAAAGAAAGGTGGTTCCTCAGGCTTGCCCAAATGCCCTAAATTCAGGAAGTGGAGAAGGTTTGGAAGAAGAAGCCAGCCCTGTCCCTATCACACACTTCTCTCATAAGTTCATTATTTCTAATGAAGAAGACCAACTCACTTCTTCAACTCAGTTCTTTCCTGAAGAGTCCAATTTAACTGACCACACTATTTATTCAATTCCCTAAATTTAGCTTATTAAATAAAAATACATGAGAAATAACCTTTTAAAACTTAGTTGAAAACTTTGGATTGTCCAGTAGGCAATATTCAGTAACAATCACTGTAGGTTTTAGAACTGGGTCAAGACAAATGAAGTGGGGACCAAAGAAAATGATACATTGTACATCAGGAGGCCTGAGAAAAAAATGGGGTCTACAGTAGGCATCCTGGGATGAGATGACCAAAACCCAGATGTGTCAAGAGCATGATGAGAGTGGAAACAACCAAAATCTGACCTGCTTCATATCTTCTTTGGTAATAAAAGGCTTGCCCTCTGCCAGGGCATGAAAGCCATTCTCTATTTCATCACTGGACTTGATGTTCTCTGACTCCTTGTCAATCAGGAATGAAGTGTATTCCTCCAATGAGACGTAGCCCTTCCTGTAGGAGAAATGGATCAGGAGCTCTGTCCTCTAGAGTCAGAGAGAAAAGCAGGTTCCTTTCTTCATCCTACTATGTCCCAGAGACAGAGAGAAGCCAGATTCTCCAAATGCCTCTTCCAACTAATCTCTCAGAGACTTTGACTATATTTTTCATTTTAATCTCCATTTCCATTATTCTTATATCTAAATAAATGCTATTTACTTCTTACGTTCTAGGCTCTGTTTCTATGTGTGTCAACAGCCTGACTCTTTTCAAAGAGTTTTGGAATTTCCCTTCACTACTTTAATTCATTTCTGGTCTTCTCTGGTCCTTAGTGTTAGAAGGTTTTAATCTCTAACAGCAATTGAACCATCTATGTCCCAACCTCACTCTGACAAAGCCATACCAACTCCCACCCTACATTTTGTCCTCTGAATCATCCATGTTTCCCAGACCTCAAATGAAGGCATTCTTTCTCAATTTCCATTTTCAGAGCTAACTGATATTCACAGATCAAAGACAAACCATAAATTAAAGAAATTATAGAACTGATGCTAGAATTGGTTTTAAGACCATTAAGTTCTAAAGTAATTCTGCAAGGACACCAAGGACTCAATTCATTTATGGTAGTCTCTATGAGTTGGAATTGACTCATCTGCAATGGGTGTGAGTTTTTTGGGGCAGATATTCCTGTTTCAAGGTAAGTTCATTTCATGATGTTTAGATCACTCTTTAGAACCTGTGCTTGTCTCTCAAAGGCCTGATGCCTGCCATGGTTTTGCTTTTGATCACCCTCCTACCTCCCTGGATCGACAGCATCCAGAAACTTCTCAAACTTGGGCTCAGGTTCATCCTCTTCCACCATAGGCAAATAGTAATTGAGTCCTCTTAGACAGGACCGGAACTCCTTGTGAGTCAAGCGTCCTGTCAAATTTGTATCAAAGTGTCTGAAGAAGAAAAACATTGCATCAATCTCAATAGAGAGAACTAGATAACTACAGAAAGGAGAAGTTTTTGTTAGATCAACTGACACTTTATTAACACATCACAACGTTGTCAGAGGACTGAATCAAGAGTCTCCCTACATCTTTGAACATTTCTAACATAATGGCTGGAGGGAAAAACATAACACTTTGAAAATGCAAGAAATGCATTTTCTAAAATCTTATAGACTTCTTAAGAGCCATAACTGAAGTTAATTAACATATCTGGATATTCATTCAAGGCCTATCAAGTCTCACTGAGGGACTAGAATATTATTTATTCTTCTGAAATTTCTGGAAAATACAGAACCAATCTACTATGAAGTTATACTCACTTATAGGTTGTGCTAAACTCTTTTAGAGTCTCCTCACTCACACCTATTGTGTCCCTGAAAGAAAATAAATAAATAAATAAATAGATAATTCTATGAAATAAAATGTAAAAGATTAGCAGAAAACATATCATATGAAAGAGAAAGGCATTTTAGTGGACATTAGGAAAGTTCAGGGGTTGGTAGAATCTCTCCCGCCACCCATTTTTATACTGTCTATGAGCTAGGAAGCTCTGGTAGCATAGTGGCTAAGGCACTTGACTGCTAACCAGACAGCTGGCGGTTCAAACCCACTAGCCACTCCTCGGAAGGAAAGTTGGGCAATCCTACTTCCGTAGTGATACTGCCTCGGAAACCCAAGCAGGGGTCGCTATGAGTCAGGTTTGACTCGACGGCACATAACAACAACAACAACAACATGAGCTAGGGATAGTTTTTATAGTTTTACATATTATAAATAGTCACAAAATAACATTTAGTAAAGCTTGAAAATTATAAGAAATTAAAATTTTAGTATCCACAGATAAAGTTATATTGAAACATGGGCATGTTAATTCTTTAACTTGCTATCTATGACTGCTTCCACATTAGTACCTGAATCTCTTGCTAACCTCTTGGCAGTAAGTTCCCTAATGCTTATTCTCAACCTTTCCCAGCCCTCAGTACTTGGCTTGGATCTGTTTTTCCAGATTGTGTTGCATTCTCATCCCAAGCTGGTAGAGCTGGTCCCACTGCTGGGCCAGTCCAATTGTGCTATATTTTATGTCAAGGATCAATGCGTCCTCCAAGTTGTCCCCCAGGTCCTCAATCTTGGTCAGTTGACGTTTCATGGCCTGGATCTCCTTCTGCTTCCTCTGGAAAAGGACAGAGGAGGGAGAGAGACAATCACTCAGAGCACCAGCTCCAAAACCAGGCCTAGGAGAGGAAAAAAGAGACTAATGATTCAGTTTCCCCTAATTTGCCCATTTCAATTATTTTTAAGGTTCTACTCATCTTCAGTAAAAATGGATGATTCAGTAAAATTACTTCATCTGTATAGTTCACATTTATAAAACAGGGGGTAAGATGAAATGACCTCTAAGATGTCTATACTTTGATAAATATATAAATCTAAAACTTAATAGCTATATACTGCAGTGGTCTAAATTGTGAATTGCCTGCAGTGTTTGATTATGAATAAACTCTCAGACTCACTTAAGAGCCCAGTGTTCACTCCTGGGCCTCATGCGTCATACTGGGCAGACTTCCACAGACTGCTCTCTGTCATTCAGGGATACTATATGCCAAATTTCATCTAATCTATATTTTCTCAATGAGGAATTATTGTCCCCAAAGAGGAACAAGAGAACTGTTAGGCCGAAGCAAACCCAAGCCACCAACATTTCAGTTAGCAGCTTCCTCCGGGCGTCAAGCCCTGATGAGACAGCCTGATAAGACAACGGAAGTAACAGAACTCGCCCAGACTGGAAAGTCCCATGCAGTGGCAAGCTTCCTCTTGTGAAGCCCCCTCATGCTAATTAAGTGCAGACCCATACTAACAGCTAATTGGACCCCACTATTTCCTTAGTGTCCCCACTTAGGTCCTCCACAAGACTATAAACCCTCCCCTCCCCAGCCAGGTGGTGCAACTTCCCGGGTCCCTCTCAGGGACCCGTGAACCTCGCTCGGGCCCCTCTCGGGGGCCCGTAAACCTCCCCTGGAAACTCAGAATAAAAACTTCTCTTTAACCTCACTTTTGTGTGTCCTTTTCTCCTTACTGCGGCCTTACAAGAACTTATTCAAGGAGGGAAAAAAACAAAAATGAAACCCACTGCTCTCAAGTTGACTCTGACTCATAGTGACCCCCATTGGGTTTCCAAGTCTGTAAATCTTATGGAAGTAGATTGCCTTATCTTACTTCCATGGAGCAGCTGGTGGGTTTGAACTGCTAACCTTCAGGTTAGCAGCCATATGCCTTACTATACCACAAAAGCTCCTTGATTCAGGGATGAGGGGGCTAAAATATCTTAGATATTGTAGTGGGTGTGTCCCTCCAAAATAAACCTTCCCAAATCTATCAAATTGATTTTGCCTTATAGTGACCCTATGGAACAGAGTAAAACTGCTTCACAGGGTTTCCAAGGCTATAATCTTTACAGAAGCAGACTGCCACATCTTTCTCCTGTAGAGTGGCTGGTGGGTTCAAACTGCTGACTTTTCCGTTAGCAGCACAACACTTTAACCACTGCAGCACCAGTGCTCCTTAAAGATCAGCCTCACCTGACAAAATTTTATTTTGTTTTTAATTTATCTGAAGGAGAAAATTAATTCAGTTAGTTAAATTTTTATCATGATGAGGCAATTGAAAAATAAGTCTTTTAGCTCATGCTTCACCCAAATCTCAGAAGATGTTCTAATGCTCAACACATCAAATCATAACAGAAATTTGTCAGTGTTCCAGGTTGTAGGCTAGGAGCTTTTGCATTTGTTCCCTTACTTAATCCCTACTGCAACCTAACAATGTAAGCATAAATTAAAATTCAGAAATACAAGTAATCTGAGGTCAATATCAATGAATTGGTACTTTATGGTTAGTTGGTAAATTGATGGCAGAATTGAGATTAGAGTCTTAGACTCTTGATTTACAACCAGAGAGTTTACCTAAGAGTATCAACAGAGTTGCCTCTGAGTTGTTTTTCTTGCACTTTTTCTAATTCTGGCAATATCCTCAGCTAATAAACAAACTACTTACTTTATTTGCTTCCAGTTGGGATTCCAGAGTTCCTGTTTCTTTGAGCAAAGATCTAGTTAAGAACCACAGGGAAACATTACTTGATATCAGAGGTCAATATTTCACACAGACATACCAACTCAAAGCCTCTACACTTCTCTGCTTCCACTTTTCCCAAGTTATACAATCATGTGAATTTTCATGCTTTTTGTTATAGATTGAATCATGTCTTCCAAAAAGATATGCTGAATTCCTATACCTTTATAACCTTTATACCTGTGAATGTGATTTTGTTTGGGAAATGGGATTTTTTGGGGGAAGATATTATCAATTAAACTAAACCACAATCGGGTAAAGTGTAGTCCTAATCCCTTATGAAGGGTGTTTTATAAAAGGAGATAACAGACATGGAGAATAGATGCAGGATGAAAACAGACACCATGTGATGACAGAAGCAGATCAATCCTTAAGCAACCCAGGGAAGCCAAGGATTGTCGGCAGCCACTAGAAATTAGGAGAGAGGCATGGAGCAGTTCCTCTCTCCAAGTCCTCAGAAGAAATTGACAAGATCAATACCTTGGTTTGGGCTTCTAGCCTCCAGAACTGTAAGAAAATAAATTTTTGTTCTTTAAAGCCACATGCTTTTTGGTATTGTGTTATGGCATCCCTAATAACTAAGATAATTCCAAGACTTTCCATCTACTGACAACCTTGCCAGTTTGAAGAGAAGGGACTTAGGCCCTGATTCTTCTCTGGCCAGGAAAGGTCTCCCACCACTCCCTCCTAGTTCTTATACACAAACATACCCTGAACCTAATGTAGACAAGACTGTGCCTTGTAGGGTATCAGGCCACACTTATACATTCTAATTCTCCTTCTCAGCCCACATTTTTACTTAGGTACTATCAGATTGTGATGGGATAAAGATGCTTCAGTACAAAGTCTTCCTTAACAAATTCCTCCAGAATAAAATATAGCAAAATATGACAACATGATAATATAAAATACTGACCCATCCAGAAAGTATGCCCTGGCCATGGAGTTCCAAAATGGGAATCAAAAGAGAGAAAAGGGAAATTTTCTGTTAGTATGGGATACCTCAATAATCATATTTCCTCAGATTCATGAGACATTCTTAATCTTTATTAGACACACAATAGGAACCCAGGCAATCAACTGTACCCAAAGCCTTTCTCACTTGGAGAAGCCCATTGATTCAGGAGGAAGAGCATAGGGATCAGTTTAGGATTTGTTAATGCTAGGCTTACACTGCAGGGGATCTTATGATAAAAGGACCAAAGCCAGAGGCAGAGGAGGATGAGCTGTGCTCCCTCTATCTTCTGTCATATTTTCTTTAGCCATGACACAAGATTTCATTTTTGTTTCTGGTCTGATTAATCCTTGTCAGTAGGTATGGCAGGTATGTAGGAATAGTAAATATTATGGATTGTCTGAATTACCATTTGAACCCTCAAAACTTTACAACTCTGAACGACCTACAGGATGTGTCCCGACTTTCACCACTGATGATAATGCATTGCACCTGCTAAGTCTTTTCTTTTGCAGGTCACTTAGCTCCAGGAGATGTGACAAATGTTTCCTTCAGATAGAGAACATTTTTCACTCCATAAAAGTAATTAGCATACATTATCTCCCTTAATTCTCATTATAGTTTTAGTAGGTAGGCAATATAATAGCCTCATATTAGGTGTTCACAGTAGGCTCTGCTTCTGTTGTGCCAATAAATACTCATGTGACCTTGAACAAGTTAATTTATCTACTTGAACATCTTTCTTTACTTGGAAACAGAAAAAATAAAATCTGCACTGTGCACTTTTCAAGGTTGTTTGAAAGTTGAGTGAGGTAAAGTATATGGAAGTACTTTGCAAAGGGCAAAAAGGCATGCAAACATCATCATCATAATAATAATTACAGGAAAAAGTGCCAAGAGTATCCAGGAGAAAACACAGAAGGGTAGACAATGGGTAACAGATTGAAATTCCCCTTTCTTGATTTTTGGCAAGGATTGATTGATTTAGAAAGCAGTCAATCCCAAACATAAGACATAGAGAGAACATAGTAATTTTAGGACAGCAGTAATGCTGTAGAATTCTCTTTTTACCCCCAGACATGTGTTTCATCCCTATTGTGAATGTGCAGCATAGAGATCATGGTCTGGGGGCAGCACGGCATACCTGGTCTCCAAGATCCATTGCAGGAAGGCACTGGCATTTTGTTCAAACTCCTGGCACATCTCAAAGTTCTTGACCTGTCTTGCTTCCTCCTTTTGCAGCTTCTGTTCCCGTTCCTAAAACCACAAACCAAACATAGTGGGGCATCCATTTGAGGTTGTCCTTTGCAGTAAAATAACTGATTCCTGCTGCCATCTAGATGCAGCGATGGGTCTCTCCTCATCAAGAGCAAAGAAGAAAGAAGAAAACCAAAATTAATGGAAACAAACAGTCCTAGCGACTGGTACACCATCTGATCTGCAACCTATACAACTATGAGACCAGAAGAACTAGATGGTGCCTGGCTACCACTGTCATACACTTGGAAGGGATGCAGGAGATCCTGGATAGAGAGGGAGAACAATGTGGAACAAAGCTCAAAATCATTTGGAGGCAAAAATAAAAAAAAGAAGAAGGTGAGGACCAGGTTTGCTGGTCCAATAGAGCCTGGTGGAACCACTGAATCTATGGCCCCTAGCTGCCCTTCAGGTCTGGAATTGAACCCCCACCTGTGGTTTCCAGCCAAACAAAGTACAGGCATGTGAGTTAAACATTTACCTCAAGTAGACACACGCCCTAGAGAGAACAATCATGGGAGAAGGAAGTACTGCTTATGCTCAGGGTGCAGGAGAGTATGGAGGGATGGTCACTGGGAAGAGGTAACTATGGGGAGGAAGTGGGAGGGGAGCTGTTGCATTGTGGTAAACTGTGGTCAATGATATAAGACAAAGTATATGTGAACTGCTGTATGAAAAGTGAATTTGCTCTGTAAATCTTCACCCAAATATAAATAAATAAGAAAAAAATAAAAATAAAAATAACTGATTCCTAGGATTACCTGAAATTATCCCTCTTCCAAATCTAACATGCCTTCCATAGGCAAGTGTCTTTGTACTCTTATTTGTTCCAGCCCACATTATCTCACCTCTAAAATGTGAAAAAAGCCCACATTATTTCTGGTAAGTTCTTGAAGGAGAATCCAAGACCAAGCCCTGTAAGAAGTCCCTCACTAATAAAGACAAATCTCACCTCTTCTCAGGGTTTATTTGTGGGTGCAATTTAAGTGAACATAAGAGCAATCTTAAAGGAAAAAGAACATATCAAAAGAGTTGTCATCTAAGGATAATGGTATATATTGAACTGTTTTCCCCAAAATATGTAATGTAAACCATAACTTATATAGTGGTTATAAGGAGTTCTGGTGGTATAGTGGTTAACACATTGGGATACTAATCAAAAGGTGAGTGGTTCAAATACATTAGCTCCTCTATGGGAGAAAGGTGAGGCAGTCTGTTTCCGTAAAGATTTACAGCTTTGAAAATCCTATGTGTCCTGTAGGATCACTATGAGTAGAAATTGACTTGCACTCATTTGGATAAAATATTTACATTTATATATGCATTTTATTTATATATCTATCATATCCATAAATATGTCCTATATTATATATATATATATATATGTGTGTGTGTGTGTGTGTGTGTACATACACACACACACAAACACATATACACACACACACACATAATATATATACACATTGTATGACTATTCCCCTGAATATTCTTTCATAACTAAATACTGAAGCCACCTCCAAAGGCTACTGATTGTTTCCCTGAATCAGTGCTCAATACACAGATGCATGAGACTGTCCAAACTATAGGCATCTTGTTGTTGTGTGCTGTCGAGTCAGACCCGACTCATAGCGACCCCTCCTTGGGTTCCCGAGGCAGTATCATTTATGCCTATTGTGAGCACATTTCTCAATTTTTCTTAAACAATCATGGATGCCTGCTATCTCAGTGTAATTATTAATAAACTCACTACCATCAAGTCAATTCCTACTCATAGCAACCTCCATTGGATTTCCAAGGCTGTAAATCTTAACAAAAGTAGATTGCCCCATCTTCCTTTTGTGGAGTGACTGGTGGGTTTGAACCACTGATCTTCTGGTTAGCAATCAAATGCCTTATCCACTATACCACCAGAGCACCTTGTAATTATTAATAGTATCCTATTATTTCTCAGAAGGGTGCAACTTGGATAATAAGTTAATGATCATGCTTACTGTAGCCAAAGGAAGGCTGTGCTGAATCCCCAACTTACCTTGATAATGTCATGTAACTGCTTCCAGATCTTTTCTAGCACCTCCACTGTTAACCAGGTATAAGGGCTAGAGGGCATATTTAAGGCCTTAATCTGCTTGTCTAGCTCCAGCAGATGATTGAAGTCAGCTTGAGCCTCTACCAAGGAGGCCAAGAAAGCCTCATGGTCCTTCTGCAGCTGTCGAATCTCATTCAGGGAGATACAGTGCACTGACTCTGACAGGTCCTCCTCAGCATTCTCACACCAGTTGTTGAAAGCTGAAGCCTTGTGTGCAAATTCCATGAATAGCTCTTCAGCCTGCACAGGGAAAAGAAGATATTGCCATCTTCCTTCATAAAACCTGCTTGTGGAAAAGAAAACTGAAAATAAAAATGACTGTTATCAAATATTTCTAGGGCCAGTGCTCCAAGAGCGCAGACCAACAGGGAGCCATGTGATCAGATGGACAGACATGTGAGTCAGAAGCACACCCCCGGTCCAGGTAATTTCTCATTGTGGAAAATTGGTCAAGTTTTCCATATTTACAAATAAGGAGGGTAAATGACTTGTAAGTTTATTTCAGCTCTAAGATTACAAGAGTGGTAAGGGTCTTTTCCAATAATAAGATTTGATGATTTCTTATTTTTATAGATTGTAGTCTGTGTTCCAATCCTACCTGGAAATAGTATTGTGGAAAATGGCTGCTGAAAAGATGAATGGATTAATGATCGAACAAATGAATCTGTCCCATTCTTTATCCACTCCCTCCTTCTATCTTTCTGCTGAGCTTCTGTAGACCATGTCCTCATTGACTCCTCTGTGTACTGAAACATTTTTTACCTTACTTCTAAACTTTGTTGAGGTCTCATCTCATGCCTGAAACTTTTCACACCATCCCTGTTTAAACCCATTTCCTACCCTTTGAATTGTATGTTTAGTATGGATCTGTGTATTCCTGCATTAATATCTGGACTTATCCAAATGCTCTGAATGATTCTGAATTACCTATATTACTGAACAAGAGAAATAACATGAATTGTTACAAACAGAGAGGACCAAAAATTATCCTGACAAGATTTAAAATAGATCATAGATTTCTGGGTCATCATATTGTACTTTCAAAAAGATTTACCTTAAGTAGATATGAAAATGGATTTTCATTCCTATGGTGTAGTAAATTACCTGGTATAGCTTTTCTAGCCATACGTCTTTGTAAACTCAGTGGTGGAATTTGCCATAAGCAACTGAGGAGCTTCTGATTGTAAAAATCATCCACCTGGGGTATTTCTGTTTTGAGCAGCACAAAGTAATGTTCTGGGAAGTTTGCTCTCTCTCAGGTGCTTAGAATTCTGATGTTATGATTGGTTAGTTTGGCCACTTTTCCTAGAGGCAGACAGCTCTCTGACTGCTGGTTGGGAATGTGCTGCTGAGAGAAATGTGCTCCTGAGAGATACGTGCTCCTGAGAGATGCATGCTGCTGGGAAAGAGACTCAAGAGACACGCATTACTGAAAGAGACACTGTAGGACACGCACTGCTGGGAGAGAGACTGTGAGAAACTGTTGGCTGAGAGATGGCGGGCTGAGAGACTGGGCATTTTCCCTGGACTTGAATTGTAGCCTGGTGTTCCCCTAATAAACCCCGTAATCTGTGAGTTTTGTGTGGCCACAGCAGTGAATTATCGAACCCAGCAGAAAGGTGGTGAGTGCTGCAGGAGGAACAGTTAGTATCAGGGTTGGTGAAAGAGCTGGAAGGAGACAGCATGTCTGGCCTTGCAGGAATAGGCCTTGGGCTACTGATGGTGCTTCTGTCTTCCTCTTATGTGGTTAGAGGAGGTCAGAAGATGTAGCCTCCTTGCCCCTTTAGCAGTTGGTGTTAGAAGCTGTGGGATTCATTGCAGTGGCCCCAGACTCATAGAAGCATGAGACTTTGTAAAAGAAAGAAGGAAGTGGCCTGGAAAATGAAATTTCAGATTATTAGATGGTTACTTTGTTTGGTGTTACCTCTTAAAAGAGATCATTGATCCAGAGGCTAGGGCTTTTGGTTACACCCAGCCAAAGGCCCAAGGCCATATGCACAGAATGGGAAGATACTCAAGGTGAAGAGAAGAACCTGGAATGTCTTTAAAAGGATTATGTGTTTTGGATTGTGTGTTTATCTGAATGAACTATGGCTTTTGAATGTTTTCTTACCTGCTTGTACATTAGAAATTATTATGGAGTATATGGATAACAGAGAGTGTGTAAGTCCACCTTCAGCCAGTACTTGATTGGATATGTTAAAAGGGGAAATAGAATTTTCCCAGAAGAAACACAGGCTTTTGTTTCAAACCCTGTGTGTAGAGTACAGAGGGCTTAAGTAGAAAACCTGAACCCCACCCAGTACTACTGAGGGAATAAGAGATTTGCATTGAATAAGGACCTGAAGAGAAAAAAATACTAACTGTTTAGCTCTTTGAATTTTGAGCAAGCAGACTTGTTTTGGGTGCATTGAGACAGGAAAGTCATGGTCCATGAGAGAAACCTCTTCCAGGACTGAAAGTTAAAGGAAGCCAGTGAGCAGTAGGCTTGTATGTTGCTTGCTTGTGACCACCTGAGTCCACTTAGTGGAAATGGGGGAAGTGCAGCAAAGAAGAAACGGGTTGAGTTTGGTACTCTTTGACCTAGGCCATGGAGGCTGAGGATGCGAGGAAGGACTGGTTGGTCTGAAGTGCAAGGAGTTGTGAGCCTACAGGCATTGAAATAGTCCCTGAGGACTGAGGATGTAAGAGAAGGTGCCGGCTGGTCTGAAGTGAAGGGAAGAATGTGACTCCCAAACTTGGCAGCTTGTACCCATGACCTAGCATGGATGGCTAGGGCTGAGCTGACCAGAACCCAACCAAATGAAGAGGAAGATGTTTGACACTGAGCTGGTGTTAATTTGCTGCAATTTGATGGTTTGCACTAAGCTAGACTTTGCTTGTTTATGGATCCAGATGACTGAAGTTTCCAAGCAGAACAGAAGATTCTCCAGAGAGAAAGGACCATGCTTGTCTCCTCAGAGTACTGGTTTGATAGGGATGGACAAATTAGAAATTGGCTATCTAAAATGGGAGGAGAGTACTGTCATCCACTTGGAAGGGATGTAGGAGATCCTGGATAGAGAGGGAGAACAATATGGAACAAAACTCAAAATCATTTGGAGGGAAAAAAAATGGTTGGGACAAGGTTTGCTGGTTGGATAGAGCCTGGTGAAACCACTGAATCTATGGCCCCTAGCTGCCCTTCAGGTCTGGAATTGAACCCACACCTGTGGTTTCCAGCCAAACAAAGTACAGGCATGTGAGTTAAACATTTACCTCAAGTAGACACATGCCCTGGAGAGAACAATCATGGGAGAAGGAAGGGCTGCTTATGCACAGGGAGACAAGTCGGGTGCAGGAGAGTATGGAGAGATGGACACTGGGAAGTGGTAACTATGGGGAGGAAGTGGGAGGGGAGCTGTTTCATTGTGGTAAACAGTGGTCAATGACATGAGACAAAGTATATGTGAACTGCTGTATAGAAAGTGAATTTGCTCTGTAAATCTTCACCCAAATCACAATTAAAAAATAAACAAATAAATAAATAAAATGGGAGGAGATAAAGGCATGAAGTGGCTGGCTTACATGTTTTCATGGGTGTGGTTATTCTTAAATTGATGGTGAAGGGGATGTTAATTTTTGAAGTATAAAAAAGATAATGGCTTGAAAAGCCAGGAGGTAGTCTAGGGTGTAGTAAATTACCTGGTTTGACTTTTCTAGCCATTAAGTATTTGTAAACTCGGTGATGGAATGAGCAACTGAGGAGGTTCTGATTGTAAATGTTATCCACCTGTGGTATTTCTGTTGGGCGTGGCACAAAGCAATGTTCTGGAAAGTTCACTCTCTTTCAGGTGCTTAAAATTCTGATGTTCTGATTGGTTAGTTTGGCCACTCTGCCAGGTTCAAAAGGAGGCCTCCTAGAGACAGAACTCTCTCTGACTCCTGGCTGAGAAGAACGTGCTGCTGAGTGCTGCTGTGAGAAATGAGCTCCTGAGAGACACATATTCCTGAGAGATACGTGCTCCTGAGAGACCCATGCTGCTGGGAAAGAGATGCAAAAGACACACATTGCTGAGAGAGACACCAAAGGACATGCACTGCTGGGAGAGAGACTGAGGGAGACTGTTAGCTGAGAGATGGCGGGCTGAGAGAGACTGAGCGTTTCTCTTGAATTGAATCATAGCCTGGTGCTTCCCTAATAAACCCCACAATCTGTGAGTTCTGTGTGGCCACAGCAGTGAATTATTGAACCCAGCAGAAAGGTGGCGAGTGCTGTGGGAGGAACGGTTGGTGTCAGGGTTGGTGAAAGGGCTGGAGGGAGGCAGCATGTCTGATAGTGATCTTGTCTTCCTCTTGGGTTAGAGAAGGTCAGAAGATGTGGCCTCCCTGCCCCTTTATCAATTCCCTAAACATGGGGGTAAAGATCCATGATGGCTTCATAAAAATTAAAAACCCATAACTGTATATTCAATTCCAATTCATTGAACCTATTGAGCAGAGTAAGATCATCCTATAGAATGTCTAAGGTTGCATATCTTTACAGAAACAGACTGTCACTTTTTACTCCTGTGATGTGGCTGGTAGGTTTGAGCACTGACCTTTCAGTAAGCAGCAGCACTCTCAATTGTTGTACCACCAGGGCTTCTTCCATAAAGCTTGCAGCCTTGGAAATCCTATGGGGCAGTTCTACTCTGTCCTATAGGGTTGCTATGAGTTGGAATCAACTCATTGGCAATGGATTTTGTTTTGTTTTACACATGGAAGTTAAAGAGGAAAACATTGACCTAGGTGGAGGGAGGATTGTCAAGGTACCATGCTATTGTTTCTGACTCTGTACTCATTTTAGCAATCAATATGGAAAATACTATAGAACAATACAGGGAAAAGTAATATGCCCTTACACAGGAGGATGTAAAAGCCTAAAGAGGTACTTCATGTTATTTTTATAACTTCATGTAGTAGAGGAATATTTTACAATTATTTCATAATCAAAAATAAAATAATTATTTTCAGTGTGAAAATTAAGCAACATAGAATAAAGATAATTATTTCATATTTTTTATGAAAAATTATGTTTAAAGTTGCACCTTTAATTGATTTAATTTTTTTCACTTGAGATTTATTTCCATAGGTCCCATGTCTTTCGATAAATTAGAAATTAAGTAAGTGTCTAGACTCATTTAGATGTTTATTTGTATGTTTGTTTCCTAATTCCCATTCTCCCCTATGTATGTTTGTGGTAATTAAGGTGTGTGTCAACTTGACTGAGCCTCGGTTTTTTTTTTAGTGTCTGGGCAGCTGGATGTAGTTATTCTTCATGATGAGACTGACAATCAACTCCATGGTAGAATCTTCTGTGAGCAGTTGAGTAGCTGTCTTAGGGATGTGATTTGCTTCCAGTATATAAGAAGAAACTTTGAAAAGGGTCTTGAGCTTTTTGGCACACTTGGACACAGCATGCAGCCAAGTCTTCATTCAGCAGCCTGCCACATTGCCTGTCAATCTTGGGACTGTTTCTGGACTTGAAGTAGTGGCGTGCTGTGGTGCTTGATAATCTTGGGGCTGTGTCATTTTACTCGTCAGCCTCGGTTTTGTCAGCCTCAGCTGTCAGCAGTTGCTTGAGTTAAGAGATGCCTCCAGCTCTAGTGGGCTGGGAGCAAGAGGCAGACTTGAAGCCCAAGGTCAAGGAGCCTTTACCCAGCTCCTAGAGCTGGCACTTTGAACTTGGACTTCTAGTCTGCTAAACTGTAAGAGTATAAATCTCTGTTTGTTAAAGCCATATATTTGTGGTATTTTCTGTTACAGCAGCACTAGAGAACCTCAGAAACCCAATGGGGGTTGCTATGAGTTGGAAATGACTAGATGGCAATGAGCTTGTTTTTTTTTGGTTTAGAGAACCAAAACACACTTATTGCCAGCTATAATGCTTCTTGTGTTCTAGTAATGCATAATTTCTCTGATCATGTTGAATTTCTTTACTTACTGCTGTTATTAACACCTAATGCTTTATCTATCATCACTAGAAATAACATTTGAGTCACTTATATCTGTATAGATCTTTGTGGTTTAAACTGTATTTTTAGATCTATTATAGCTTTTTTTAGATCTATTATATTTAAAATAGATCTATTTTTAGATCTATTATATCTTTTAATAGTAATAATTTAGAAATTCAGGCAGGAATGGTAATATTATTGCCCAATCTTTCTTCCTAGGGATGGCTGGTGGGTTTGAACCACCAGCCCTCTGGTTAGCAGTCAAATGCCTTAGGCACTACACCACCAGAGCTCCTCCCACTATATCTTTTAATAGCAATAATTTAGAAAGTCAGGCAGGGATGGTAATATTATCCTCATTTCATAAATGAGAAAATAAAGTTTCATAGATGTTCAGTTACATATACAAACTCTCTAAGTTAGTACAGGTCAATATAAGTTAAAAACAAAAGTTTCATGAATGCTATACTTAGCCAATGCACCTTTTACTTGAGTTGTAGAAAAGCACACAGATAACTTTGACTCTTGACTGTTTAAGTACTACCATGCATATTGATTCTCCACCTTCTTGTTCCACCTACCTGCACTTGGCTTCCATCTCCAGTCACCTGGAGAACTGAGCAATCAATCAAAACAAAGATAAAAACAAAAATTTCCCATAAGCCACTACTTCTTGCTCATGAAGAATGTCTTTCCAATCCTTCATACTACATTCAAATCTCTGTAGATTATCAAACCAGGGTTTTTAGTTTCTATTTCTCAGTTCCATAGCTAATATACAGTTAACAGAGGCCTGATCATGCCTTAAGGAGCCTGATCATGCATCAAGAAGCCCTGGTTGTTGACTGGTTATGCACTTAGTTGCTAACCAAAAGTTGATGGTTTTAACCCTTCAGCCACTCCATGGGAGAAAGATGAGGCAGTCTGCTTCCATAAAGATTTACAGCCTTGGAAACCCTATGGAGGAATTCTACACTGCCTTGTAGGGTCACTATGAGTTAGAAGCAACTTGATGGTAGTGGTTTTGGTATGTTTTGATCATGCCTCATCATTTTCTTTTTTTACCTTCTGCAGAGGTAACTGCTTCTCTAGCAGTTTCTGTCTATGGGCTGCAGATGCTTCCAGCAGCTGTTCCCAGCGCCTCAGCAGGGCAGCATGGCGCTCCTCAATGGCTTTGGTCTGGCTGTGCTGTGCTGCTACCAGTTGGTCCTTCAGGTCAGTGATCTCGGACAGCCTCTCATGCTGGAAGCTCTGCAGACTGGCATCCAGAGTGTCCTGGGAAAGACCCACAGAGAAGCTGTGAATGGGGAAACAGTGTAGGCTTAAAGATGTCATTCTCATCTGAGTTCCACCAATTTTTGGTCATGAAAAAGTTAAGGGTTAACCAAGAATACGTCAGAGGAGTAAGAAAATGAAAAATGTGACTTAGAGGTTTAAGTGAAGATTTAGAATAAGAATCACAGTTGAGTTCTAGGTGGATTTAGATTCTAGGCTAGATGTAAATTTAATGCTAAAGGAAGATTGGATCATGATATGATATTCCAAATTACTTTAATATAAATTAAAGGCTTCCCCTAACACAAAATGCACTAACAGCAGAAGATAAACTAGATGATTGGGACCTGCTGAAAATTAAAATTTTATGTACATCAAAAGACTTCTCCAAAAGACTAAAAAGAGAACCTACAGATTGGGGAAAAAATATTTAGCAACTACATATCTGACAAGAGACTCAGCTCTAAAATTTATAGAAAACTCCTCAACATCAAAAAGACAAAAACCCAACTAAAAAATATGGGCAGAAGACATGAACAGACACTTCACCAAAGAAGATATTCAGGCAGCCAACAAACACATGAAGAAATGTTTGGGATCATTAGCCATTAAAGAGATGCAAATCAAAGCAAAAATGAGATACCATCTCACCCCAGGACTAATAGCAAACTTCAATAAGACAGAAAATAACAAATGTTGGTGAGGATATGGAGAGATTGGGACTCTCATACACTGTTGGTGGGGCTGTAAAATGATACAACCACTGTGGAAATCAATATCGTGATTCCTTAAAAAGTTAGAAATAGAAATCCCCTTTGATCTAGTAATCCCCTTAGTAGGTACATATCCTAAAGAAATGAGAGCTAGGACACCAACAGAGCATTGCAGCACTATTCATAATAGCAAGGAGATGCCGACAACTTATTTGTTGTTGTTGTTATGTGCCCTCGAGTCAGACCCGACTCATGGCGACCCCTCCTTGGGTTTCTGAGGCAATATCACTACGGAAGTAGATTGCCCCATCTTCCTTCCGAGGAGTGGCTGGTGGGTTTGAACCGCCAACCTTCTGGTTTGCAGTCAAGTGCCTTAGCCACTATGCTACCAGAGCTCCCGCCAACAACTTAAGTGCCCATCAATATAAGAATGGATAACGAAACTGTGGTATGTATACACAATGGAATCCAATGCAACACTAAAGAATAATGTAGAATCTGCAAAACACTGCATAAAATGGATGAATTTGGAGGACATTATGCTGAGCAAAGTAAGTCAATCACAGAAGGACAAATATTATTAGTTCACTATTGTAAAATGTCAAGGAAATGTTTGTATATGGAAAAATGGGAGGAGAAGGGAGGGAACACTGCTAAAAAGGTAGAGACAAACAGTGACTTGGGTGAAAAAAAAGACAATATACCAAAAGAGAGTGACCAAAACAACAATACTAAGGAAAAGGAAGACTCAGAGATGTGGACAAAGGGTACAGACAGCAAAAATAAACCCTTTTACATATACAATACTGCATTATCAGTGATAACAAACATTAACCTATAGGTAAATAGATGGGCAGATAGGCTGTCCAACAAACACATGATATGTCTAGGCAAAAGGGAATATATCCCATGACCATATATAAGATTGGAAGACAATTATTTCTACATATGTTTTTGTATGTGCTGTAAGAATGCCCATACAACTAGGACTAACAGGGGGCAAAGTTTTGATAACTATTTACGCCCAGTCAACCACCCTGATGGAGCGAGTTGTTGGACCTGTGGGCTCTGAAGTACAGTAGCACGAGACTTAAAGCTCAACTGGCATAACATCCTACACAAAACATTTTTCTACCTCCTACTTTGGTGAGTAGCGACTCGGGTATTAAAAGCTTCCAAGTGGCCATCTAGATGCAACAATGAGTCTCTCTTTGGCCAGAGCAAAGAAGAATTAAGAAAGCCAAAGGTGCATGGAAACAATTAGTCCAGGGGACTAGTAGACCATGTGAACCTCAGAGTATGTAACCATGAGAGCAGAAGAACTAGATGGTGTCTGGCTACCATTGTCAACCACTTGGAACAGGATCAGTGCAGATCCTGGATAATGTGAGAAAATAATGTGGGACAAAACTCAAAATCATAAAACAGGCCAGTAATGATCTGATAGAGCCTGGTGAGACCCCTGAGACTATCATCCCTAGTTACTTTTCAGGTCTGGAATTGAACCCACTCCAGTGGCTTCCAGCCAAACAATAGATGTCATATAGGGTGAATATTTACATCAGGTAGATACACTCTTTAGAATGATCAATCATGGGAGAAAAGAAGGGCAGTATTTGCACAGATAGATAGTGCAGGGGGCAGGAATGCATAGGAAAGAAGGACACAGGGAAGAGGTAAGTAACTGCAGGGAGTAAGTGAGAAGAGAGCTGTTACGTTGCGGGGAATTGCATTCAATATCAAGAAACAAAATGCTGTATGGAAAATTAATTTGCTCTGCAAACTTTCACCTATATCTTATTTCAAAATAACTAAATAAAGGCTTCCTATAGCACAAATCTTTTCAAAACTCTCTTATATTACTTATGACATTATGTTTGCTAATTAGTAACAGTACACTTCTAGGGATCTCAGAAATTTATAACCTAATGAAAGCTCTTGTATGGGCACCAGATGTACAAATATTTTTTTCCTGCAGAAAGGTGGATATCAAAATTACAAAATTCAGTGCACTCCACTCACAGCTTTAACAGAGTGGATTCTATTAGACTAATTATCCCTTTGAGAACAATTATAAAAAATGGCTATAAGTACAAAAGTCTAGTGTTATAAAGGAACAGAAGAGTGAGAGGATATGAAAGACAGAGGAAAAGGTAGGAAATAAGATAAACAAGAGGCTAGAGAATAAATTAGCAAATTATTATCAAGAAAGAAAAAGGGGAACATATTATAGACTTACAGACATAAAAGACCTATAGACACAAAATTCAGAAATTAAATAATCCTGGAAGTCTGAACTCTTTGACATGTAGATCTTAGGCTTCACTGGCATCTCTCAACAAGGCATCTCTCACCTGCTTTGCCAAGAGAGTGAGGAATGCAGCGAGGTCTGTACCATTGCCATTGGTCTTCAGGCTTGTTTCCTTTTCAGCTAAAGGGGGAAAAAACAAATACTAAGAGGGAAAAATATACTTTCTGTACCAGCCCTCATGAGAAAAGTAATATATATTATAGATAGTTTCATGCGTATCAAAAAGTTCGTACTCCATTGGAGTCTATGAGGACAAAACTGAGAAACAGAGCTCAGGCCAAGAGAATGAAGCATTTCATAGAACAAGGAGAAAACTGAAGGTTATCCATAAATTATAGTTAAATCAAACACACAGTTTATTTCCTATAATGTTTTTCTCTAGACCTACCTTTCTGCATATCACACATGAATCACCAATTCCCCAAAAAATGCACCCTCTGCAGTCATTGTCCTTAGTCACCCTAATGTTTTTTGCATGTTTCCTTGTGTGGGCGTGTGCATGTGTGTGCTTATAAACATGTAATTGTAATTGCATCCAAAAGAACTGTGGTGAGTGATGCCAGAAACACTCAGGTGAAAGCACCCTCTTTTCCCTAGGTGAAAGAGAAAGCTCCCAGAAACCATTCTACAAATGGGATTTTTTGGCATTTTTCACACCCAAGGGGCCCACACATCATACCTATCCAGGCCTCTACCACATCCACCTTCCAGTTAAACTGCTGAAAGGCATAATCATCCTCCAATTGCAACTTCCAAGCAGCTATTGCCTTGGCCAGAATTGGAGTCTTTTCATTCAGAGCTGCTATCTTAGCAGAAATCTTCTCCTTGTTCTCACTTTCCTCCTGTGGCACCAAAGTTGGGGGGAGACGGAGAGGCAGATATGCTGTTGAGTATCCAGAACTGGAATTTGAATTTCTTTAGTATCATTAAAAAGCTCTTATAACTCTCAGCCCAAATATATAATTATTCTTTTCTTGCCCAGTGTAATTATTCTATTATCCCTCTATGTCTCAGGTAGTTATTTCCATTTTAGCAACTGAACAGTCTTCTCCTGTCTGCCGTGTAATTATGACCTTCTTCATTGATGCACCCTTCTAGAACATATGGAGTTATCTCTATATAGCACTTCAGTCAATGAGGTTTGTAAAACTAAGCATTTAAACAGACAGAAGAGTCTTATATTACAAAGAGGTTTCTGTGTGGTCCTCTTCCTTAAAAGTTTACAAATAAATTTCAGTACTCTGTGGCCAAAGTCAGTGATATATTTTATAAATACCACATTCCTCATAGCAGTGTAAGTGTGCCAAAAGGATTTTTAAAAAGTTGAAAGGTACACCAGTAAGAACTGGAAAGAAACAGCTCTAGAGAAAAACAAAACAAACTATTGAGCAGATAATTATTTACTAATAATTTACAAGAAGACGAAAAAAAAAAGGCAATATAGCAGATATTAATAAAGTTTGGCCAATTCCTATTTGAAAAGAAAGTTTGACCTGGAAACCCTGAATTGGCTCACCTTACTCAGGATGTCTTCTCCTTGAGCACACACATTTTGCACTCGGGTCTCATGGACAGCAAAGTCATTATCCAAAGCTTCATATTTCTTTAGCAAACTCTGTATACATGAGTCAGTGAGAATCAAAATATCAAGGGCTGGAAAAACTATCCCACAGATTCTGTCTCACTTTGTTTTCATTCACCAGAACTGAGTCACCTAAACTGGAAGACTAGGTAAATTTCCATTTCCTATTGCATGTTGTTGTGTGCGTCAAGTAGATTCCAACTCATAGTGACCCTATAGGGTTGAGTAGAACTGCCCCATAGGGTTTCTTAAGCAAATTGCTACATCTTTCTCCAGCAGAGCCACTGGTAGGACCTCCCCATTAGCAGCTGAGTGCTTAAGCACTGTGCCACCAGGGGTTCTTCATCTTGCACAGTACTACTAAATGTGCCTCCCCAAACTCTTCACCTGTCAAAGAGAACAATGTTGCCAAAAAGAATTAAAGGAATACAAGGGACACTGTTGCTAACATATCATTTGACCTTTTATCTTTCTGGATTTGGGGTATCGAATGAGATGATATATAAGGATACCTTCATACTGAAATTTATTTACTTGCATGGACATTCTAGCTATCAGAAAAATATTTAATATGAAGAGTATCCTATCGTAAGGATTGACCCTTAAAAGGGATAAGAGAAACACTGAGCACTACTTCAATATCTGTTTCTGGCTGCTTTATGGAAATATGATTCCTGTGTAACTGGAGAAACAGAGAGAGAAGTGAGGTTGGGATATGAGGAGCATCACTCCTCCTAATTCTTTAGTGTTCTCCTAAGATACATCTGTAACAACCCTTACCACCACCATCACCACCACCACTACTCCCATTGCTGCCTTTTTTGTTTGCTTCTTGTCATATTCTATCAATTTCCTTCCTGCACCACATAAGAATTCAGGCTAAAGGAAGAATTGTAATTTGCATGACCACTATATCTCTTACAAATCATCCTTTGAAAATAAATGCATTTTTGATACATTACATACTTAGGCATGAAAATAAGGTAGTTGCTTCTTTTAGTACAAGATTAGCTACATTATATTTTATGACAGCATTATATTTCATCTTCGTGCAGAAGCTGTAAATGGAGATTAGACAGACTAACTCAATAGGAAGATTGAGATGCTTGGTTTAACCAAATATTTTTGTTTCGTTTTTATAATGCATGAAATGAGGTCTCTTTAACATCTTAACCTTTTCTATTTCTTTTTTCTGGCTTCTTCTTGGACACTTCAGACAGTTCAGGTACTGCACAACTAAAGTAGGTTTCCATTAAGTAAAATTTAGTCTTCTCCCATTAAATATATTCCTAAATAGCCTCCATAATGCTATATGAAGGATGAAAAAGTTTGAAAGAGAAACAAAAGCCTGTATAATTTGTCAGATGTGTCTATTTGGTTCTAACAGTTACAGGTAATTTATCAGAAATATCTTTCTCTTCATATGCTAAAGGAAAAGAGAAGATGGGGTAAATTGGAAGGAAATCCTGATTTGCACATTAAGTGAACATCCCTTCTTTCTGATATCAGCCAGTCTATGTAGACTGGGAACCTAAAAAAAAACAGAAAGTCATTTACTTCTTCATGAAAGATGACATATAAATCTATGTGGATAAATATTTGAAGTAACTAATAAAGATTACTATTAATAAAGCTATTCAAGAGGGGGAGGCCTTCAACGAGATGGATTGATACAGTGACTGCGATGATGGGCTCGAGTATAGCAGGGATTGTGGGGCTGGTGCGGGATCGGGCAGTGTTTCGTTCTGCTGTGCATGGGGTCGCTATGAGTCGGAAACGACTCAACGGCACTTAACAACAACAACATTAATAAAGCATCCTAAGTTATTTTACTATTTTCATGGCTGATGTTAAAAGTTTTCTTTAAGAGCAAACCTTTTAATTTAAATTACCTAAATCTACCAATTAAAAGATGGAGATTGGCAGAGCAGATTTAAAAATTTGACCGAAATACATACAGTCTACCAAAAAAAAAAAAAAAAAATCACTTCAAAAACTACAATATGGACAGGGTCAAAAGCAATTCAATGGATGAGAGACAGCCTTTTCAACAATGGTACTGGAGAAACTGGAAATTCATAGGCAAAAATATAAATTTGAACTAATATATATGTCTTATACAAAATTAATTCAATATGGATCATGGCTTTAAATATAAAATATATAGGTAAAAATTTTGGGAAAATACATAAGAGAACATTTTCACAATCTAGGATTAGGAAAAGAGTATTGAGACTTGATACAAAAGCAGAATCCACTTAAAGAACTACCATAATTCAGCAGTTAAAAAACAAATAACTCCTCTCACCCCCAGAAATCCAATTAGAAAATTGGCAAAAGGCATAAAGAGCCATTTCACTCAAGAAGATATCAAAACTCCAAACAAATGAAGACATGCTAAACTTCATTGTTGTTGTTGCTATGTGCCTTGGAATCGTCCCTGACTCATAGCGACCCCTCCTTGGGTTTCTGAGGCAGTATCACTACGGAAGTAGAATGCCCAACCTTCCTTCGGAGGAGTGGCTGGTGGGTTTGAAGGTTGGGCAATCTACTTCCTTAGTGATGCTGCCTCAGAAACCCAAGGAGGGGTCGCTATGAGTCGGGACGACTCCAGGGCAAACAATAACAGCAAACTTCATTAGCCATTAAAAAAAAAAAAAAAAAAAACCTCAGTGTTGTTGAGTCATTTCCGACTCATAGTTATCCCTCCTTGGGTTTCCGAGACTGTATCTCTATGGAAATAGATTGCTGAATCTTCCTTCTGAGGGTTGGTCGTGGGTTTTAACTGCCACACTTCTGGTTAGCAGTCGAGTGCCATTATAACTATGATGAACTATCACTGCATATCTAAGAATGTTGTTGTTGTTGTTATGTGCCGTCGAGTC